AGGCAGAGAGCTGGATTGGAAGAGGAGCAGCCAGGACTAGAACCGGTTCCCATATGGGATTCCAGCACTTCAGGCCAGGGCTTTAACCCGCTGCACCACAGCACCGACCCCCATAATAAGTCTTGAAGTTTGGTAGTGCCAGTTCTCCTAGTTCACTCAGCTTCAAAATTATGATGACTATTTCGACTTATTTGCCTCTCTATGAAAATTAGAACCAAAATATCCTTGACCAGAACATTATCAAGAAGCACTTCACCTGGTTTTGTGTTTTTTTTATTTTTTTTTCCCTAGTAGTTTCATAGTATTGAGTCTTCCTTTTAAGTATTTAGTCCATTTTCAATTGGGTTTGTGACTGGAAGGGTAGAGTCTATTTTCAAATTTTGCATGAACATACCCAGTTTTACAGTACCATTTATTGAAATGACTCATTTGGCAGTGTGTTTTGGAGTCTATGTTGAAAATCAGTTAGTTGTAAATGTGTGTATTTCCTTCTGGGTTATCTATTCCATAAACTCAGTCTATATGTCTATTTTGCCAGTGCCATTTGGTTTTGACTATTATTGCTTTGCAGTAAAGTTTAGGTCAATTATTGCAATGCCTCCAGCTTTTTCCTTTTTGTTTATCATTGCTTTGGTTATTTGGTGTCTTTGGTGGTTCCATTTGAATTTTAAGATTCTTTTCCCACTTCTGCAAAGAATAACATTGGTATTTATTTAGTTTAGTTTTAGTTCTAGGCCTATTGGCTCCACTAAATAAAGAGCTCAACAAATAAAAAAGCTAAAGGACCATGGTCCAGAAGGAAAATAAGCAGGACTATAAAGGATAATCAAATGAAAACATGTTCAACTTCATTCAAATAAAGCAAATTGGTGCACATAATGGATGCAGCTTTGTAGGCAGTGGCTTTACCCACTATGTCACAGCTCTGGCCCCTAATGGATTTCTAATATACATACTTAATATAGGATTATCTCAAAATACAATTTTAAAAGTGATTGATGTTTTCACAAGTATTCTGTTATTTGTTTGCTTTTAGAAGAACATAATTATTAAAATTTTACTTCATTACAAGAAAACTTGATAAAGCCAAAGTTCTCCCCACATACAAGTTTTTTGAATATTTTTGATTTGTAATTGGTGGAAAGCACTTAAAATTTATTGAATTTAAAATTAAAAATGATTTTCTGCATTATTATTTCATAAATAAAACACACATGGATATGGAAAGATAAATAAATTCAATATTAAGGATAGAAGTTGTGGGGTTTCCCACATGGGTGGCAGTGGTGCAAGCACTCAGGCCATCTTGCACTACTTTCCCAGGCATATTTGTGGGGAGATGGAGCAGCTGAGAGTCGAATCTGTGTTCATATGGGATGTCAGCATTGCAGGCCAGGCTTGATATGCTGCACCAAATGCTGGCCCCCAGGTATGAATCTTTTTTAATGTGTTCACATTTAAAAGTTTAGAAAGGATTGTAAGAGAAGTTAGAGTGTCAATAACTTCTCTCCTGCCCTAAGTTTCTCACTTCATAATTACTTTTTAATCCAATATATTGATCTGCTTCCATGCTATTCCTTTAAATTTGGCAACTAAGGTTGCTGAAGGCCTCATATGTGCTAAAAGAAAAATGCACACCTGACAAAAAGAGCAAACAGATATTAATTTTATTAAGTTACTATTGCTTGCAATGGGGGAAAAAGATAAAACCAAGCTTATGTGTTCAGCTCAACTCAAACAAAGGGCAGAGAAAGGTTTTGTTTGTTTATTTGACTGAGCTGGGACGGGGAGATTGTAGGTCACCTGTTTACTAATTGGCATTATCCAAAGGATCACTGTCTTTATAGGAGGTAGTAACATAGCTTACAGCAAGGCACCCAGTAGCTTCATCTTCCTGGATAGTTACATTTCAAAAGGATGGCTTCCAGACCCTTGAGAAAGGTAGTCTTGAATTGTAAAACTGCCAAGAGGATTTTTTTGAAAAATATTTATATTATAAAAGGGAAGACAGAAAGTTACACTTACATGTTCTTTAATGTAAATGAGCTAAGAAACTGGAGATCAGTGCATGGAGTCCTGCAGAAGCCTGTCTAACCTTCAGTCAAGCCAAGGTGACCTTAGGATCTGCCCTAGCAGCCCTGATTTTTTTAAATCCAATCTTAATCTGAAATTTTCATCCTTTCTTTCAAGACTTCTTTTATGTGTCAACCCTATGTTAGGCACTAATAATTTTAAAAGATCAGACTATTGCTCAAAGGATCACTCTGACTTTGCTGATATTTTTGCCTAAAATTAAGGGGACATTTCATTCTTAATAAATTCTAAATTAATTAATAGGCTATTTTTATAAGGTAATTTGTAACTTATAGAAAAAAAAATTACTCAGATGGTGTGTAATGATGCTCTTGCCTGAAACAAAGTCCCTTTATATTCTACTGAAAATAACAAGAAATGACAATCAGCTATCAGCATGATTGTTTTCCACCACCCAGCAACTGAAGTTTCTCAACCTCAAAGTTTCAAACAGAATCAGAGATCTCTACCTACCTTCCCTGTTTTGCGATCAAACAGGCTACAAGAAATTAATATACCATTATTCTCCATCAAAAAAGTCTGATGCTAAGTTTCCTGTTTTGTATTCAAGATGAACAGTAAAGTCACAAAGTAATTGTAACTTTCCCTGTTTTCTTTTTATGGGTACCATAGTTTGAACATCCTCTATTTTCTAAAAATGCATTTACACTTTTTCAAATGAGTAAAAATTCTTACATATTTCAGAATTTTAAACAATTAAAGAGTGTCTGCTACTATTCCCTTTTTTCTTTGTTTGTAATTTATATAAATTTTCACATGGACTAGCCCACGATTTTCATACAGTCAGAGAGAAACAGATAGACAGGGCCCCTATCTGCTGGCTCACTGACCAATGAGTGTTGTAATGACCAGGAGGGGAGCTAGGAACCCAGACTGGGTGTCTTATGTGGTTGGAAGGGACTCAACGACTTGACCCATCATCAGCTGCTTCCCAAGATGTACTTCTGCAGGAAACAGGAATTAGAATAGAGCCAGGACCCTAACTCCAGGCCCTCTAGATATAGGAGATGGATATCCCAACTGAAATCTTAACCACTAGGCCAAATGTCCACCCCTAGCACACAATTTTCTATTCCATGCTCCCAGGAAGGAAACAATGTCAAATATCTTGTTAAGACATGGTTATCAAAAAATCCTCAATCCAATTTCCCTATACTTCCTTGATTTTTCTTAGTTCCTGATTGTCCATTAAATATAGCTCCAAGGTTCTATGTTACCCTTGACCTTATTCTCTCCTTGAGTAATAAGCTGAGCAATCAGTGTTTAGTTTTCTGCTCAGATGTTACTCTCTAGATGTGTTAATGACTCTGTCTTGTGTCTTGCCCAAACCTATGAACTAAAGTCTATACTTCATTTTCAATTGTCTAGGGCACATCACTGTCTATTTCACAAACTTGTTTGCGAACTAAGGTATTCATGTTTCCTTCAAACCTGCTTCTTTAGCATTCACACTGTTGTTTGATGATCCCCAGTGACCCAAACCAGTCACCTAAGAGAAATCTCACCCCTAATGTTTGTGGGGCCCTATCCCTCATGTTCAAATTCTATGCATCTACTCCCAAAGAGCTGACCTTTGTCTATATCTCAGAACAAAGACACACATAGTAGTCTGATTTGTCCTTGTAGAGAAGTTACTAAGAGGTCTACTTAGGCCCTGGCTGTAGCTTTAAAGTTGTTTGGGCCAGGAATTCTCTGGTTCCAGGTACTCAGAGCATTGTTTAGAATGGTTAAGTGTGAAGTTGGCATGGATATGTCTTTTTACTCTGCAGACTAAATCCTGTGGGGAAGTCAGAGCAGGACTCTTTAGAGCTTGAGACTAGGGGCCCATGATGCGGCTTAATGCAATGCTGGCATCACATATGGGTGCCAAATAGAGTCTCAGCTGCTCCAATTCCAATCTAGTTCCCTGCTGGTGCACCTGGGAAAGTAGAAGATGGCCCAATTGCTTGGGCCCCTGCACCCATGTGGGAGGCCTGGATAGAATTCTAGGCTCCTGGCCTCATCTTGGTCTAGTCCTGGGCATTACAGCCATTTGGGGAATGAAGGAGCAGATGGATGACCTCTCTCTCCCTCCCTTTCCCTCTTTCTCTCTCTGTAACTCTGCTTTTTTTTTTTTTTTCATTTAAAAACATCACTTCTTTATTTCAAAGGAAAAATAAAACACCCTCCCAACCCTTTCCAAAAAAAAAAACCAATAATAATAACAATAATAAAAAATCCTATTAGAAACCATAAGGAAGCACTGAGAGTTTGAGTATTACATTCTTCAAGTATGCTGTTCGGATTTTTTATTTTTAAGGTGGTAACTATACACATATAAAAAAACTTAAAAGTGCGGCCAAGGGATTTTGCTTAAAATCAGGGATTCAGAGGGCTACTTCAAAGGACTCCAGTGGGCCTGCGCAGTGATCCTGGGGGCGCGTGCTCTCAGTTTCGTATCCTAGCAAAGGTTAAGGGGACAGGTTCAAAAGGGATCATACTTCCAGGATGAACGTGAGTCAGCTTGGGTGAGAAGCCAGGGAGATCCATGTGTTCTTCCAAGGACAAGGAACATCCACCCTGAATCCAGACATTCAGCCACGGAATGTGGTAGGATTTCACAGTACAGTTAGTGTGGGAGGGGAGGAGGCGGTGAGCCCAGGGAAGGGGGTGTTACGGTGAACTGCTTTGCCCTAGTCAGGTTCTCACATCTTGGTAGTGGGTTTCAGTGCAGTCCTTCAAGCCACAATTGAGAATGCCCTTCAGTGTGCTCCCGACTGTGGGTTCATGTGAAAGGACTGTTGAAGATTTGCATCCCAAAGAAAATCATGCTACATAAAAATGATCCAAGATTTTTGCCCAAAAAACTGCTTGGATAAAATCTAAAAAATACTATTGCAATTGCGTCTCTTGAAGAAAAAAAAAAAAAAAAAAACATTATTCTAAATGTAAACAGATTCACTCAACTCTTGTTGTAGAAAACTTCCGAGTAGGTACGCTGCTGTGTGACTCCACTGCATGCACTCGCCGGGGGAGGGAGCATGGCCTTGTGTGCCAGCGCGCGCCAGCGTCATCTGGGGGAAGAGAAGAAGCGCTCCACGTAGCTCGAGAGGGCGTCCCAGTGCTTCCAGAGAAAGGCCATGAACACCACCAGGAGTAAAGTGCTGAATGTCCTGTTGCGAGTCTTCATGAGCGGGACCACGCAGTTGGCCACGGTGGACACGAAGACCAGCAGGACGGCCATGACGGCCAGCAGGATGTTGATGAGCTTGCCCAGCAGGTTCCGGGCAGTGGCGTTCTCCAGCCCTTCCAGCTGCACCACCTGCTGCTGCTGCTGCTGCTGCAGCTCCATCTTGGAGATGCGGGTCTGGCACGCCTCCAGGGCCTCCTGAATGTCCCGGGCCCGTTCATAGGAGTGATATGCGATTTTCTCTTCCATGCTGGCCAATTCTTGTTTCAGGTTCAAAATTTCGTTCTGGTGGAGCTCCGTTAGGTCATTTAATTGTTCTTCTAATCGTTCACATCTATATCGCTTGAGGTCAGGTCAAGGAATTCTGTTGCCTGGGTCTAACATGGTACCTCCTTAAGCCATCCTCAGCAACTTCAATACTGGGTCCTATTAATCTATCTCAAAAACTAATGCTCAGATCTATTGCTTATTCTCCATATTCCCCATACAGTCTCATTTTAGAATCATTCCAATCTCCCATTCAAAATATTCCCACATCCTTCTCATTGGTCTCCTCATAGCCACCCTTCATACCGTCAAGACAGTGACCTTCCTGAATGTAAACTTGGTTATGGGGGCCAACATAGTGCTGCAGCCGGTTAGGCCAGTGCCTGTAACAGCAGCATCTTATATGGGTGCCAGTTCCAAGTTCTGGATGCTCCACTTCTGATCCAGTTCCTTGCTGGCGTGCCTGGAAAGAGGCAGAAGATGGCCCAATTGCATGGGCCCTGTACCCACGTGGGAAACATGGATGGAGTTCCAGGCTCCTGGCTTTGGCCTGACCCAGTCCCAGCTATTGAAGCCATTTGGAAGTGAACCACTGTATGGAAGACTTTCTCACTCTTTCTCTCTCTCTTTCTTCCTCTGTCTGTAACTCTGCCTTTCAGATAAATAATTTTTTTTATGTACACAAAAAAAGAACAGAAGTTGTCACTTTAAAAGTTGACTCTTTTTTAATATTTATTTATTTGAAAGAGTTACACAGAGAGAGAAAGAGAGGCAGCAAGAGAGGTCTTCCATCCGCTGGTTCACTCCCAATTGGCCACAATGGCTAGAGCTGTGTTGATCTGAAGCCAGGATCCAGGAACTTCTTCTGGGTCTCCCATGCAGATGCAGGGGCCCAAGGAATTGGGACATCTACTGCTTTCCCAGGCCATAGCAGAGATGGATTGGAAGTGAAGCAGCCGGGACTTGAACTGGTGCCCTTATGGGATGCTGGCACTGTAGGCGGCAGCTTTACATGCAACACCACAGTGCCAGCCCCAGAAAGTAACCTTTAAAATGAGAAGTGGATGTTGGATGATCATAATTTTAGGATAATAAATATGAAGTAAAAATTTTCTGGATGATCACTGTCCCATGTTTCTAGCTGAGGGGATATATCCAGATGTGGAAAACAGATTCAAAACTTAAAGGATTTCTTTATGAAAAAGGAAAAGCACCATTTTTATATCAGGAAACTACATTTATTTATTTTCCAAATATAATATTTCTTAACACCAGCATAATTATTTATTGTTGAAATTCATCACAATGGAAACTATTACTTTAAATCAATTTAATTAGTTTTGGCTGGGGCCGTGGCTCACTTGGCTAATCCTCCACATGCCGCACTGGCACCCCAGTTCTAGTCCCGATGCCTATATGGGATGCCAGTGCCACAGGTGGAGGATTAACCTAGAGCACCACAGCGCCGGCCTCAGGAGCAGATTTTTTGACTAGAAATTGAGATGATAACATTTACTTGGGAGCTCTGGGGTTCAATTCTAGCTCTGGGATACTATTTCTACTCTGGCTAATCTAGACCCTGAGAGCCAGTGTTAATGGCTGAACTAATTGGATTTCTACCACCATGTGGGAGACCTAGATTGCGATGGCAGTACAAGGCTTCAGCCTGGCCCAGACCAGGTCATTGTGGGCACTGGGGAGTGAATAGAATAAATTCTCTCTCTCTGGCTCTCAAGTGAATAGAAAATAATAGTAAAAAAGATCAAAAACAGCAAATAATAAAAACTTGATATCTACATAGCTTTTGACCTAGTAATCCCATCTGTAAGATTTTTTCCCTAAAGAATTGAATAAAAATATCCTCAAAGATGTACACAGAAAGAAGTTCATTGTAGAACACATGGACATGTACATATATCAGAGAAAACAAATATCTACTAATCTAGTATTACTAGTTATATTATGATACAAATAACAAATACTGAACATAAATAAGTGGGGTGTGCATTTGGCATGGCCTGTGATACCACTTGGGATGCCTGGATCCTGTATTGGAATTGTTTGAGTTTCAGATCCTCTCTCAATTCCAGCTTTCTGCTAATGTGCACCCTGGGAGGCAGCACATAATGCCTTAAGTGTTTGGGTTCCTGCCATCCAAATGGGAGACGCAGACTGGGTTTCTGGCTCCCAGCTTTACCATGGTCCAGCCCCAGCTTTGAGGTTAATGAGGAATGAACCAGTCAGTGCATATCTGTTTCTTTGTTTGTGTCTATATATATTCTCTATCTTTCAAATAAATTCAACTTAAAACAATACATAAGTAAATAAAATTATAATAAGATATCTTACTGGTAACATTTGTATCCAATATAGAAATTATTGATGTGGCCTGGGAAGGCAGTGGAGGATGGCCCAAGTGCTTGGGCCCTGCACCCCATGGGAGACCAGGAAAAGCACCTGGCTCCTGCCATCTGATCAGCGCGGTGCGCCGGCCGCAGCGTGCCAGCCGTGGTGGCCACTGGAGGGTGAACCAACGGCAAAAGGAAGACCTTTCTCTCTGTCTCTCTCTCACTGTCCACTCTACCTGTCAAAAAAAAAAAAAAAAAAAAGAAATTATTGAATTCTGTCTTCTAATACACTGATTTTCTGCTTTGTATTTTATTTTCTCTGTTCATGCTATCTCCTTCCTTAAAATTAATCAAAGATGATCTGAGTCATTATTGAATGTAGGTGTCTGTGTCTTGAATCATTTTCAACTTTAATTTGCTTTTTATGTTAATGTTTATATATACAAAATAACCAAAACATTAATTCTGTTCAGTACTAGTTAGAGCCATACATTCAATAAATTTCTATCAACTTTGTAGGGGAAGTTCCTGTTACCTCTCCTGCATCATTCTCAGCCCATACAAACCAGTCAGCGAACAACAGATGGCAGGTGGGTTCTGGCTCACCATGTAATAATGGCTCCTTATGATTCGGTCATCCCTTCAGCCTTCCCATGGTGCTAATGTTGGAATATCTCCTTACCTGTGCCTATGCTGTTTCCCCTCCCCTTCCAGTTAATCTCCCAGGCTTGAAAACAGCTATAGACTGATTATACACTAGGAAAGGTATGGAATTGTCAAATATTTAATTCACTTAGTTCTGGCTTTATTTTTTGAGTCCTTATTACAAGGATTGTCTTTAGATACTGAGATTTTCTAATTTATTGGTCGTTTTAAAGTTTCACATTCTAACTGAAAGTGGAAAACCATGAAATTGACTCTTAATTATTCTTTGGGTGAAATGTAATTTTGAAGTAGAATAAGAAAGGACACTCCTTTTGAGTTATAAAGAATACAGAAAAAATTCACTGCCATCTGTTTAATGATACTAGCCATGATCATTTCACTCCCTCATGTATATCAAGTGCAATTAAATAAAGTTATGCTGGCTAATGCACAGATGATCTGTGTTTAGATGAGTGATTTCAAATTCAATAATGTGCAAAATCAACTTTGCTCATAATGAGAATATAAAATATCCATTAAATTTACACCACATAGCAAGTGCCTAAGTGACTAGATCAAAATCAAGCATTGTACATAAAAATTTAAGAAATAAGACAAAAATTTTCACCTCATATGTACTGCTCACTATGATTGTAGACATTAAAAAGCAGAAATATTTTGAAGGATTTCTTTGATCTTTAATAATAATTATTTGATTAACATATATTAAGATTAGTAATTGATTTTATTTGAGAGGCAGAGAAACAAAGGAAGAAAGATAGACAGATAGACATAGCTGTCACCTGCTGGATCATTCCCTAAATGCTCACAATGGCTGGGCTTGGCTGGGCCAGGCTTGAATAAGGAACTAGGAACTCAATCTGGGTCTCTCATGTGGACAGCAGGGATTCAGTTACTTGATCTATAGCTTGTTTCTTTCCAGGTTCATTAACAGGAAGCTGGAATCTGGATGGATCCTTGTCTCAAACTCAGGAACTCTGATATGGAATCAGGGCATTCCAACTTCCTTACGTACTAGAGCAAACTTCCACTCCTTTGTTTATGTTTTTAAAAGAATTTGACAATTTCAATATTAGAATTAGTTTCACCATTTGGAATATTATTGTGGTATAACAAGCAGTAGCAATGTTCTTAAGGAAAATAAAGTTTTTGATACTCTTTTAAAGTTTTCTGTGGTCAAATTATTTTTAAGGGAAAGGTAAAGATACCAAAAGCACTTCTTGTATATTCACACATGGTAATCATTGTAATGCTGGTTCTTATGTTTCTGAAACAGGAGTGTGTATCTTAATCCAATTTTAGTTGGTAAGTTTCATTATATGATTATGAGAACATTTTCAATGCCTAGTTTACTGTTTTACTCATTAGTTAATTTTGCATTATATTTTTATTAGTCATATATATTAAATAGTATAGTTATATTTATATATACCAAGTATTACTTTAATTGTTTGTGAGACTGTTATTGATAGAATTATTGAAATGTTTTCAAAAAACAAACTCAAATTGCATATTCCTTATGTGCTGTCTAGGATCCACAATAGCATTCTTTCAGGACTCACATATTCCCGTGAAATTGTTGAAATCCAGAGTAAAAGGAAGTTTATTAAAAAATATCTAAAATCTGTTGACCTACAAATATACTTTATATCTAGATAATGTTATTTGTAAGTATAATAACAATTACTGAGCAAATATGCTTGTATTAAATGATATTTTAGAATGTTTCTGTAGATTTCATAGAAAATTTGAGTATTTGACATAGCAACTTATATGACAATAACATTTTACAAGACATATGATTGAAACATTTGCATAAAAATAATGGGAGTCTATGCCAAAAATTGTACATTTCATCATTTAGGAATCATTTTGTAAAAATGAGGAGTTACAGGATAACAATAACATTTGCCCCAATATAACAATATAAGACGGGCTCCTTAGGAAATAGTATTCTACAATGAAATCAGAAAAGGTTCCTCAAAAGAGGAAATCCAGACAGCCAACAGACACATGAAAAAATGTTCAGGATCACTAGCCCATCACAGAAATGCAAATCAAAACCACAATGAGGTTTCACTTCACTCCTGTTAGACTGGCTTATACACAGTAATCAAAGCCAACAGATGCTGGCGAGGATGTAGGTTAAAAGGGTCCCTAATCCACTGTTGGTGGGAATGCAAACTGGTAAAGCCACTACGGAAGACAGTTTGGAGATACCTCAGAAATCTGAACACAGCCCTACCACATTAACAAGCCATCCCACTCCTCAGAATTTATCCAAGGGAGATTACATCAGCAAATAAAAGAGCTATTTGCACCTCAATGTTTATTGCAGCTCAATTCACAAT